CTATATAAAGACCCCATGTCTAGCAAAACCGGCCACTACAAGCAAGTGTAAGAGGGCTAGCTGAATTTTAAGTGTGAGTGAACTTCTCTCAAGGTTATTCCAAGTGTTGTGGTGGTGTGTGAAACATTTGAGGCATCACACTTGAGGTGCTAGGCTCACAAGGTTCTCAAGGAATCCAAACAACAAAAGGTATGTACTTCAAGCAACTATTATGTTTAAAAGTTCCCCATGATATGCTAGTTAGGTTAAGAACCTTGGAAAATCAAATTTGCATGTATCTTGGTAAAACATAGATCCAAGGTTTCTAGGGCTGCATGTACACCTTAGGAGTGTTAGAATGCTCAAAACCCTTCAAAATAACCCCTCCTAATCAATCATAATTTTTTACCACTCTATAGTTTTATATTATCTCTTCTCTCTTGATTACTTCCTTAGTCATTTTCTATTGTTCTTAGGGTTAATTTCTAACATTCAATAATTTGGTATTGTTAGGTGTGAACCATAAGTAGCAATCTACTTGGTTGCGATTCCTTGGCTTGTTGGAATTTGATCAACATCAAAAGGTTCTTCAAGAAAATTAGTTTTGCTAAATGTTAGTAATTCTATACCTCTTGTATTTGTTCATATAATTTAGGTTAAGATCCTTATATGTTTAAGTTGTTTTCTTGCCTTCGATTAAAATTGTTTGTTTCCGCTGCTATATGATAATATAGGAAGTATCGAGAAAACCTATCAGTTTTAATGTTGATATAGAGTGTATTAAGTAATTAGAATGGTCAATGATGGACTAGAAAGCTAATAAGAGCTTATGGTACAATGTTGATACTTGAAGGTCTATATGAACTTCGTTATAGCTCTTGTGACTTTAAAAGGTCTTAATCATTATGTCATTAGAAGTGAAATACATAATTAAGATAAACAATGTTATTTGAACTTATTAAATTCACTTGGACTCATATATGAAGTTGGATGAGATTTAGAAGCAAACTAGGGAAAGTACATAGCCTTAATGGCAAAAATCAGATTGTTTGTGCTGTAGTGGGCATTACACGGCTGTGTAATGTCGATGCTAAATAAAACACTATTGTGTAGTGTTATGAGAAGGGCATGTTATGCTATATTGACCATGGTTCATTTGCTTAGCACCATAAATACTTATAGTACTCTAATCTAAGTGCACTATTAAAGCACTGGGTTGAGTCTACAAATATCGTAGGGATATTTTTGTCATTTAGTAATCCTTTGTATACATAACTTGGTGGTAATTAGGATGCTATTTGATAATTGAAGCAAGGGGATAAGCACCACAAGTTGTTGAGATTAGTACATATGCAAAATATATGTCACTTACTATTTATGTATAAGGCTATGAAAAGTATTACATATACTTATATGACTTGTTTGTTATGTGGCCTTACGACATATGTGCGCATTCCATAAAATCATATTATTGGACATGTTTGGTTTGAGAAATGTATATGTTTTGGGATATAATTTTGGAGCATCCTTACTTGTGCATTACATGTAGGATGAGAATTGAGAGTTTTCGTTACAAAGGAGTGATTTGTTAGACAACAAAAGTATGAAAGAGAGAAATTCCTTTGGGTTGGACGGAAGAGATATCCTAGACTCATAAGCTAAAAGCTTGGGGATGAAATTCATAACTTCATTCAATGAGGATTATGTTGATGGTCATATGAATCTCTAAAGTATACCTAAATGACTTAATCCTTTTATACGACTGTGTAGTCATAAATTGATTCATCTATTGAGTCAATAGACATCGGGTGGATTAGAATGAAGCATCAATTCAGGTAAAGATGTACACCATTGTCCCTTAGAATGCAAGGAGGTTATATGAGAGTAGTGGATCGGGTTGTGGTAGTTAAATATGCATTTGCATGATTTTATTGATGCTCCTATCCTAAACTCTTAACTATATCACTTATATTATGAAACGATTTGAGATACAATGAAATGGTTTGGAAAAGATTTGTTATTTTGAAGAGAATGTTTTTAAATATTTTTTGTAATCTAGCCTTAGGAATTAGGTATATTTATCCCCGATTCCATTCTATAATTAGATTTTCGCATTACTCACTAGGCTCCCCAAACCTAACTTACTATTTTGACATGTACTCAAAGATTATGAATTGAAGAATAGTAGCATGTGATTGGAAAGTTCGAAATTCATGCATGTATGGTTTACTTATATCATTGTTATGATATTTTAAGAAAAAAAAATCTCGTACACTAAACTGTCATAACTAAAAATATGCTTTGTAATTTGGTACTGTTTAATTCCACATTTGATATTTTAAAAGACTTTAAAGAAACTTTATGAAACTTCCTATTTTTCTAGCCTGTATGAAGTGGTGTTTAAAAAAAACAGAAATTAAGATTTGATTAAAATGCAAGAATTGATTAAGATGTATGAATGCAATTCATATTCAATTGAAATTTCTAAGCATGCATCTTCCTTCCAAATAGAGAACTCTTACCACAATAATGTGATGTAGATGTACTCTTCCAGGCGAATGAATGAGAGTTATCTATGCGAGTTATATGGTGGGGATTGTGGGTTTCATAGGTTTTTTTTACAATAAGGGGTCATTAGGGATGGTGGCGATGATGATATCGTTTGTGTGCTTACCTTATATGTATATTTATGGCGGTTGACCAATGTCTGTCGGAGTGGAAAGCGGGAAAGGATGTCAGAGGGATAATTTGGTTGCATATAATAATTAAATATATGTATTAAAAGTGTAGTGTTCGTGTAGTCTCAGTGTAGTTTCAGGGAAAGACGTTGCATATAATTAAATGTATGATTAGCGGGGAGGGTGTCATGTAGGTATTGGTTACCATCTTAGAGGTTCCATCTTATTTATTAATATTAAATAATCAAATTAAATCATTAAGTGACCATAATATAAGGTCATAGGTATGGTCACTAGGTATTCACTAGAAAGGTGATGTCACCTATGCGCCACATCACCCCACTTACATATTAACTACACGTTTACTAATCCTTGGAAATGGTTATCACTCCACGTTGTTTTTATTTATTTATTTATTATATTTTTACATTATATTAAATAAAAAACACAATAAAACATTAATAAAAATAAAAATAATATTTTTAAATTCAACATACATGCTTACTAATAAAATAAACATTGCTAAACATAAAAGTGATATTTTTAAAATTCAACGTACATTTTACTAATAACATAAAAATTAATAAAAAAACATCGTTGTCCTCATCGACCTCGTCCTCATCCATTTCGTTTTCGTCTTCAAATTGTCGTTGTCATATGTGTTCAGCCAAATCTTGACGTAAATTGTGATGTGTTTCACTATTATGTATTTCCAAAACCCTTGTAAAGTATGTTGGGTTGCCGACTTGTATTACTGCAGGTGGATTGAGCATATCATTCGGGGTATACGTGCAAATAGCCCCACCCTCTTCTTCTAGTATCATGTTATGTAAAATAACACACACTTTCATCACCTTCATCAATTTTTCCCTTTCCCATGCTCGTGCTGGATATTTGATTATGTGTCATTTCTGTTTGAGGACCTCAAACGCCCGCTCCACATCCTTCATTGCAGATTTCTGTGCTAATTTGAACAATTTCCTTTTTTCATCAGTTGGATATGTGTATGACTTGACAAATGTAGCATACTCTGGATATATCCCATTAGCAAGGTAATATCCATGATTGTATTCACGTCCATTAATAACGTATGACATGTTTGGTGCTTTACCCTGTAAAATATCGTTAAATAATGGAGATGCTCAAAGCACATTCAGGTCGTTATTTGACGCTGCCATAGCAAAAAAATGCATGCCAAAACCAGAGGTCCTGTGAAACAACTGCTTCTAGTATAACAATAGGCACACCATGATCACCTCGTGTGAATTGCCCTTGCCATGCATTGGGACAATTTTCTCACACCCAATGTGTACAATCAATGCTACCTAGCATTCCTGGAAACCCATGTTTAGCCTAATGTGCGGTATACAACTATTCGATATCATTTCTGGTCAGATTTCACAAGTATATGTCGCCATAAAGCTCTATAACATACTCACAAAAAAGATATGTGCATTCTCGACCGGTCCTCGCAGACATCTTTAAATATTCATCTGAAGCGTCTGTAACTATGTCGTACGCTAATTGTCTAAGTGCTGCTGTGTATTTTTGAAACGTGGCAAACCCACGTTTACCCCTAGCATCTCATCCCAATTGGAAGAACTCATAATTATTTTCCAAATCTCTAACTATACGTAGAAATAAATTTCTACTGATACGAAAGCGATCCTCAAACTTCGATAGTTCGTATAAACTATCAAGGTTAAAGTAATCACGTACCAAAAGTTCGTTCGCTGCCTCACGATCCCAGTTGATAGACTTTCTTCGTTTCTTCTCGACATTTGAAGTTTCGCCTCTTTGACGTACAATATCGTGTGTCGCAGATAACAACGTGTGCATAACCAACTCATCATCATCAGATGATGAAGAAGACGAAATGGTATCCAAAAAATTATTCATATTCTTGTTGTTGAGTGTGATTGTTTTATAGTTGTTGTAAACTATATGATATGTATTATGTTTGTAAATATAAGCGAGGTTTTAGTTTTGAAAAGATTTTTTTTTTAAATAAATGTTAACGGTCAAGAGTAAATGGGAGAAAACGGTAAAAAAAAGCAACCAATAAAATTGTGCTTAACCACCCGTAAACCGTGTCAATCCGTGTCACATTCACCAGAGAGTGGGGGTGGTGTTCATTCCATGTCACCCTTTACGCATCAAACTACCTCCATACCCCATGACCTAAAAAATAAATAAATAAATAAAGGTATTTGACTTAAGTAAAGAGTGATTCTTTTAATGAGAGATCATGGGTTCAAACCTTCAAAAATAATATTTAAGAATAGGTTTGCATAATTTATCATTAAAAAAAAAAATAGGTGTTGTCACACATACTAAAAGTTGCCGTTTCAAGTCTTTTATTATGATCACTTAATAATTTGATAGTATAATTGTGTAAGAAAATCGAACATTAATTCGAATTTTCATACCCATTCTCATTCTACTTTGCCACCAATAAGATTTTCTCAAAAGTTGAAAACAAATAACAAAACTAAATTTAAATCCTATCCAACTAGAAAAGGTTGGATGTCGGCCTTCATCGTTCGTGACGTTGTCACACATACTAAAAAACTTGCGGTTGCCACCGTCGAACATATTTGCACGTTTTCTTTAAGTCATTTTCACTTTGCCCCCTTTCCCTTATTCAGTCGCCACCCACACCCATCCTTTAAAGGCACCACTTTCGCCTCCTCCTCCATCTCAAACTTCTCTCATCAACCATGGTTTGTCCCCGCGATTGGCCTGAACCGGTTGTTAGAGTGCAATCATTATCTGAAAGCGGGAAACCAGTAATTCCCGACAGATACATCAAGCCACCACCGGATCGGCCCGTTTTTAACTCATCTTCTCCCGACGACATAAACATACCTGTTATCGACCTCGCCGGACTGACCAGCGATGATCTCACCCACCGGGAATCTACTTTTAAGGAAATATCGGCAGCGTGCCGTGACTGGGGGTTCTTCCAGGTGATCAATCATGGCTTGAAAGCAGAACTCGTCGACGGAGTTCGGGATATTTGGCGGGAGTTCTTTCATGAACCGATGGAGGTGAAGCAACAATATGCTAATTCACCCAAAACGTATGAAGGTTATGGAAGCAGATTAGGACTTGAAAAAGGGGCAATACTTGATTGGAGCGATTATTATTTCCTTCACTATCTTCCTCCTCCTCTAAAGGATCACAGCAGATGGCCTGCGCAACCATCTTCTTTGAGGTCAGATATATATCATCATCATCATCATCATATATATAATAATAATATTGATCTTTAAGCCTATATATCATCATAATAATAAAACTTAAATCACTTAAATAATGCAGGGAAATTGTCGAAGAATACTCGAAGGAAATAGTGCGGTTGGGAAAAGTTTTGCTCGAGGTATTTTCCATAAACCTTGGGTTAAAACACGATTACCTTCAAAAAGCTTTTGGTGGAGATGATATCGGAGCTTGTCTGAGAGTAAACTTCTACCCAAAATGCCCACAACCAGACTTGACTCTGGGTCTATCGCCTCACTCTGATCCTGGTGGCATCACCTTTCTCCTCCCTGACGAGAATGTTAGCGGCCTTCAAGTCCGGCGGGGTGACCAATGGGTCACCGTTAAACCTGCCCCACATGCAATAATCGCCAATATTGGAGATCAAATTCAGGTAAGAAATTTAATGATTGAATCTAATAAAGGTTATACGGATCTATGTCAAATTTGTCTTGCACAAATAGGAGCCAACCATTTGATGGTTGCTTTTGTTTCCATTCCTAAACATTTAAAAATTGAAATATTCCCCATGTGAAAGACATATATATTAAATACGCATCACATGTACTCAGTTTGGGTTTTCCGCGATGAATCCAAATCGGTTAAATTAAAATGATCAGCAACTATCAGCATTAATAACGTAATTGTAGACGACTGAATTAATTGTGATGTTGATAATGGTATTTTGATATTTAAAACAGATTATAACGTAATCTAATATTCTTTTATTTTTATGTTTTTTCTTTCATCATCTTGCAGGTTTTAAGCAATGCTATATACAAAAGTGTAGAACATAGGGTGATAGTGAATCATGACAAAGAGAGAGTGTCATTGGCATATTTCTATAACCCAAAGAGTGATCTGCTTATTCATCCAGCATCGGAGCTCGTAACCGAAGAAACACCGGCTCTCTACCCCTCAATGACTTTTGATGAGTACAGACTTTTCATTAGGACAAGAGGTCCGCAAGGGAAATCCCAGGTGGAATCTTTAAAATCGCCGAGATGAATTTTTCGCATCTGTGACCATATATTTATGTATGTATGTATGTTAGTGTATATGGGAAATCCCTAATGGAATCCTTAAAATCTCCGGGATGACTTTTTACACCATCCGTATTTGTATTTATGTACGTTTTTGTATATGAAAATACTTAATGTCTTGTGATCCTTAACTATTAATATTGTGACATGATTGAGGGTCTAAACAGTATATATATATATATATATATATATATATATATATATATATATATATATATATATATATATATATATATATATATATATATATATATATATATATATATATATATATATATATATATATATATTGAAAACAGCAAATATTATTAAGAAGAGAAAGAGAAAAGACAGCCCTACATAAGATTATTTATTTCTAAATGTGAATAATCGTATGGATTGCATAATGATACAATCTAGATACTTGTAATGATGAAAATAGTCAAAGACATTAAAAAAATCGACAAAGAACACATGTTGAATGATCATATATATATATATATATATATATATATATATATATATATATATATATATATATATATATATATAGAGAGAGAGAGAGAGAGAGAGAGAGAGAGAGAGAGAGTTATGCTCAAATGAGAACATTTTTGAAATTGAAAACATTTGAGAACAATTTTATAATTAAAAAAACATATCCCACCCACCCCCACTCCACCATTCTATCTAGACGTATCGTCTCTCACCGGACCACCATTGAGGCCACCAGACAACAATTTACACAATTGAGGTCACCGAACCTCTGCCAAACCAGTCGATTTCCGATTTCACCGACCGGCGTCGAGCTCATAATTAACTATCTGTTCCGCAACCCCCAATCGACACCGGAGTTGATCTTTACCAACACGATAGATGGGAGCTTCCAGGTAGGGTTCTTTCAAGTCTATACAAGTGTGGTTTTTAACCTAAATAGACTCGATTTTATCATGAAATTCATGAAATTAAGCTTATGATGAACGACAATTCGAGTGTCTGATACTTAATCTTACATCATAGGAGACATTTTATCTGAATCGCAATCCGATTTAGGTATTTTACAAGAATATGCAATCTCTTTCTTCTCCTTTTCCTTTTATTCCACTTTAGACATTGGTACCCATCAATAACTCAATATATTATCTACACATATATAATACATCAGAATGGATTTGTGAACTTTTCGGCTAGTAAAGTTGATATTTGTAGAGTTTATCAATGTTGCAGGTGGTCACTCTTATCTCTATAAATTATACACACACACAATCACAATAGCTAGTAAAGTTGATATTTGTATAGATTTTTTTATCAACACCAATTGTTCGACGAAATGCCTCAATGAAAAAGTAACATTTTACATGTCATTCACATGTAAATCACATGTGATTCACATGTAAATCATATGTGATTCACATGTAAATCACATATGATTCACATACGAAATAAATGCAAATCATATATGAATAATAAGTTATTCACATGTAAATCACAAGTGAATTATATATGAATTACGTATATATGTACACATTCATATGTTATTTACATGTAATTCACATACTAATCACATTTGATTCACATGTAAATCACATTTGATTCACAAGTAAATCACATGTGCTTCACATGTAAATCATATGTGATTCACATGTAAATCACATCTTATTCATATTTGAATCACACGTGATTCACATATGATTCATATGGAAATCACATGTGATTTACATAAGATGACATATATATAAATGCGATTCATACGTGAATCGCATGTGATTCATATGTGAATCACATGTGATTCATATGTTAATCACATGAAAATCACATATGTATTTTTGTGAGTGTTTGTAACGCCTGTAGACCGGGCCAGTCAATTTAGAGACGATAAGTGCCAAAAATGACTTTTTGATAGAAGAGTGTTTAGAATAAATAATCATAACCAAGTTGTAGTATATGTCACAAGGTTTCCATGCATATAAAGAACGATGAAATCCGAGTTATAACGAAGAAGTTATGACCCGTCGAAGTTTCGCGACAGAACAGGCACGACACAGGGCGACGTAAATAGTGAATTTACGTGAAAGCGATATTTAGCCTGAGTGATCTAAACAAAAGTCGTAGAATACGTTAAACTGAGAGCGTGCATAAAAAGAACGTCTAAATCTGACTCCGTATGAGGAAGTTGTGATTTTTTGAAGTTTCGACTTAGTAGTATGCAGCCCAAAGTTCGGATTTGAGACAAGTGATTTCTAGCCGAAACAATCTAAACAAGAATCGCAGATCTCGTCGATAGTAATGCAACGGTAAAAAGACAGATGAAAACAGACGTCAGATGAAGAAGTTATGAATTTCTAACGGAGTTTTCCTGTCCCGGTCTACTAAAATTAATATAATAAAAATAAAGTCAAAATTAGACGACGGAGTCTAAATGAGAGTTGTAGAGCATAATCTCACCTATGCGTGGATATAAAGGATGTCGAAAACAGAGATTGTATGCGACATTTATGATTTTCTGAAGTTCGAGGCACGCATCCCAAAGGGGGAACGCCCCGCGTTCAATTGGGGAACGCCCTGCGTTTAATACTTGCCTCCGGAGTGGCCACGTCGATGCTGACTCATCGGATAAGGTGTGACAACCCGAAATTTCCTTTTGTACAAATCCTACAGTGAATCACTTCAAATAAAAGTCAAACACATTTCTGCCAATTTTTAGCCGGTTTAAAGTCCATTTTGGGTGTTTCATTAATAATTCTTCAAACGAATGAATAAAAGGAAGTACCTTCTAGGGTCTTGGAATAGAAAACACACATTTAACACCTTAATAAGGAGTTCACAGCCAAACTTTTGGAGTTTGGGCCATAAACTCCCTTAGGGTCGTAAACTCATGCTTAAAGCATGAGTTTGCTCTTCATTCCTTCATTTCTCACCTGCCAACTTCAAGAACTTCCATTTTCTCTCTCAAGTATCATAACCATTATCTTCCAATCTTCCAAAAACGTAAGTATTTCTTCACTTGATTTGTTGTTATAAACTTTCATCTAGTTGTTATACATCATTTCATCCATGCATTCTCCACTTTATCATAGATCTTCAAGTGTTCTTCAAAACACCAAGAACACACACTAGTGTTCTTAGACCTTAAACACCCAAACAAGCTTCTATATTGTAAGTACTCTTGTCCTAGAATTTTGTGTGCTTGAATGAACTTTTTTAGATCTTAGAAACATCAAGAAATCCGAGTTGGAAGAGAGTTTACGGCCAATGCATCTCCCAAGGTCGTAAACTCCATATAAGGGTGCAATGTTGCCCTAATTTCCTTCCTAATGCTTAGAACTTAGACTAGAAACTATTACCATTGAACTAGAGGCCTTAAACTTCAAGTTTATGGAGTTATCCATGGGTTTACGGCCATAAACCCACTAGGGCCGCAAACCCTAGGCCGTAAACTCCATAAGTTATGGTCCTTGGGTCGTAAACTCCAATGCAATGCCTTACACTCCTTTGATGCAACCCAATGGCCTTCTAACACTTACACCAAAGTGTTTTTCACACTTTAGGGTGTTTATACTTACTTAATTAGTGTTATAATCACTAATTAGATGTGTACATATGTCTTTATATGTTAATAGGATCATCGTGTGTGTTCAAGTCTTCACTTGACACCTAGCACCTTGTCCAACACTTCCATACAATCCACTCACTACAGGTGAGTTCATACCCCTTAATTAACCTTTTAAATGCTTTTGTGTGTGTGTGGGGGGGGGGGGGGGATACAAGTTGAATCATACTAGTTATTATATCAATCACATGTGATTAATAACTAGCACTCAAATAGATTTTCTATACTTTAAACTGTCTTGTCAACAAAACCACTTGAAAATGATTATCAAATACTTTTACATGTTAAACTCTTTATAAAACTTAGTGTTAGTTTCCAAATCTTTACTTTCAATTCTTTAAACTCTGATATTGTCAAATCATGTCCAATACATATATAGTTATATAAGTAAGGCTTGAAGGACTTATGACTTATAATACACTTTATTTCCTATTCTTTGTTTGGTTGTGAACTTAGAGTACCCTATTGTTTGTCCGAGTGTCGTTTGATCCTTAGTTATATATCATATGTATATGTATAGACATAAAAGCTGGTTATCTTATTTCAATACACGCAGATATACACACAACATTAGTAGTAAATTATAATAGGTATAGTTTAGAGGTATACTACTTACTATTTCTAGTACAATGAAACATACAAAGATTCGGTTCATACACGATTCAGTACATACTGTAAACAATGCGTACACTACACTATACAACTGAACATATTATAATGAGAGTCAGAGAAAGCATACTACTCACTAGACAGAGAGAACATACACTAGTACATATTATTCATACAAACTATATACTATACTAGAGAACTTACTATGATGAGAATCAGGGGATACATACACTACACTAGTACATACACTACCTACACACTATAACATAGAAGTAAGGAACTACTTCGAGGCATGGCATCTCTGTCATGGCTCGTCTTGTATCCAGAGTCTCCTGAAGGGAGAGCGTGAAATTTGTGTATAGATCTATAGTGGACTAACCGTCCTACACCTTGTTGCTAGCTACAGTGGAACCTGCAGATCTTTAGGTGATGAATGTTATAACATCTCGACGTCTTCGAGCTTCGTGTTTCACTAGGTCGATCAAGTATGGTTACAATTACATCACATTATACCTTAATTAACAATTGGTTTAAGGTAGTTCGTATAATAGTAGTTATAATATTATTATACTACAGTACTTCATTATTTTTCCCTTACATCTACTTTGTGATCTCCTCACATAAAGAGTAATGTAAAAACTATATTTTACTAATAATAGTCACATTTCGGAAAGATACTCACTTTTACAATGAACATACATACAGTACACTTGATGCCTTGGTAGAAGGTTGCTTTTAATGGAAAATATAGGATTTTCTAGGAGATACAAATAATTACTACAAACATTTTATGTACTCTTACATTCAAACATTTTCATACAAATTATGACACTAAATACTTATGAACTCACTAGCTTTAATGCTGATAAACTCTTTCAAAATAAATTGTATTCTCAGGTCATCAGTAGACAGGTACCGAGGCCAGCTTTTCAGAAGATGGAGCCCATACAGGACTCATCTTTTAT